AAATTGTTTGCCATTGAATTTTTTTTAAAAACATTTAAGTTAATTTTGGATTTCTACCTGTTGCTTAATGTTGTAATAATACTGAGTTGTCATGTGATAACTGAAGTACCTGGAATGGTTATTAAGCCTTGCCCCCCTTCACTCAGCCTTTGACGCCAGCACCAAAGTAACCAAAAAGTGCAACCAGGAGTTCGAGCAAGTCAAAACCCAGCGCCTCCACCTCTTCAGCCAGTGCTTCGAGCATGTGTCTGTCATAATTGATCAGATCTATAAAAGAATTTGCAGGAACAGCAGTGCTCAGGTGAAGCAACACATGCACAAGTTCCTCTGTTGTCCTCTGGTCTCCTTTGTCTGTATTATTCTATATGCCCTCCTCTACTGTGTACTGTTCACATAAGATGAATTTATGTACGACTGATTAACACCCAGGCCACACTGGATGTGTGAACGGCATGTGTGAGTCGAGGAACGTCTTGCCTTTCATTTTGGCACCCATGTTATCAGGTTAGAGCTGCTAAACTGCCTTCATGTGTCGGAGTTAGTGAACTGATCTTACTACAGTTTAGCATTTCTGTTGACTGAATACATTCATATATTTCAACAAGCATTGGATTTGTCATTGCAGTAGTGTTCTGGCTTTCAGTTGAGCACATAGACCTACCTCTATTCTAGTTAATATAGTAGTCATATCAGAAACATCAGGTAGAAACACTCCATGTGTGAACAACAGATGCAGACGCAGCAGATCAGACCGTCACATGCTGCCCACACCCAGTGTGGCCCAGGTGTTTTACCTTTTTAGCCCCATAAGTAGATTTTTTTAACATTTGATACTTAAAATTGAAGAGTATCTTCATACACACTGTGAGTCCATAATGAAGTTCAAGGTAGGAAGGTTAAAGATAGGATTGATACGTTTCTGAAACACGTCCCAGTTGCCATCAATAAATAACATTGTATGAAAAAAAGAAAGAAAAGAAGTCTGTGGCCCTCGGAGGACTGTAATAAACATGACGTACCTGTCTATCATTAAATGATCTGGATAGCTGCGCGCACCCTGCTCTGCTGTCTCTTTGTGCATGACTGGATACTTAAGAAAGAGTCTTACCCTGCTGAAGCACAGACGATAGAAGAATAATAGAAGTTGGCAAGCAAGTCAAGGAAAAGTTGGCTTCTAGCAGTATCAGTGCATGTTCATGTGGTTAAGGGGCGTAGCTCTGAAGACAGCATTAAAGCAAAGTTTTTCTTTTTTCATACTTTGGCCATGAAATGGTATTAAAGGTAATTTTGTATGGTATCAACATTTTTGGTAACTGTTAGAAACAAGGACAAGGTGCCTGAAAGGACAAGTTCCATCAAAAGAAATAACAATGCAGTGCTGGATGTGTTCCAGGCCATTCTGACTCCAGACAATCCAGACGAACCGTACCTTGGCGGCATCAACTACAACTGTGTGGCACCCGGAAAATCCTTCATGTCCATGGACAATCTGTCTGGTGGAGAAAAGTCCATTGCTGCTCTGGCCCTGGTGTTCGCTATTCACAGGTAATCCTGGAAGTTCAATAAAACTACAAACCAGACGTTAGATCACATTTACAATATAGCAGATTGTCATACTGCACAGTTTTTGAAGATAAAAATAAAACTGTGCATGGGGAACTTGGCTGCTAATGACCATGAGTTTTTAAACTGGTGAGTAGGGAGTAACAAAATAAAGATATAATTTGAAGAGCTTTTTGATACTCTCTTCAGAGTCATCAACTTTTCTTTAGTACTGAAACTACTGTTCAGTCAGGAACACTCATGATTTACCCATTTGTTGCRAATGGGGATACAGTTATGATTGGCGCTGAAGGCTCCATTCTTTGGATGTTCCCTGGGTGAGCCAAGAGCGTGCTAAGATAAAACAGGGAACATATGCAGAACCCCCTGGTGGGCGTAGCAGGCAAGGTATGTTTGTTTAAGATGAACATCGTTTACCACAACAGTGTTTGGACTCAGTGCTAAAAGGTGGAGGCTGGGGAGGTGGAGGCAAGTTGCCGGCAGCAGGCGTGGGTGGCAGTGTAGCTGAGCAGGGAACAGTGAGGATGAGGTCGTATTTAAAGGGATCGCTTTGCAGAGAGAATGGGCTGTGATTGGTGGGTGGCTGACGAGCACATGACTCTGTGTCCTGCATGAACTAACGCAATGCTTCATTTCTTAGGTCAATTTAATACGGAGCCCTCTTTTGACAGAACAGTCGACTCATGTCAGTGGTTTGTGCAGCTGTGCTGTTTGACACTGGTGCTTGTGTCTTTTCTCTCAGCTTCCGCCCTGCTCCTTTCCTTGTTTTGGATGAAGTGGACGCAGCCTTGGACAACACTAACATCAACAAGGTATGTTTCCAGTTTCACCCAGAGTTGACCTAGTTTACTGCCCACTCAACACCAAATGTTCACAAAGTTTCTTTTCATTCACTTCTATTTCTGCAGGAAAGAAAGTAAAACTGACTTTTTTATATTTCTATGAAATGTACATGATTTTTTGTTGGCAATAATACTTTGTACTGTGTATCAGGGGTGGGCGATATGACCTAAAATTAATATCACTGTATTTTTCAAGTTTTGGGAGGAGAAGCCTATTCTGTCAAGTGAGAGCTTTACTGTTATATTGGCTACAGGATATAAGGAAAAGTATTTGGAACACAACTGATAATTTGAAGGAATAAATATGCTGTAATTTTTTATAATTAGGCTGTTGATTTATCACTGTGTCGAAGGCATTGTATAAACCATGTCATGGTGCACAACAGTGATGACTATGACACTTATGTACTGCCCACCCCCACTAGGTTATTTGCTTGACTTGAACTACTTAAATATCAATAAACCAGGAAACCTGACTGGTAATTGTCAGGGTTGTATCAGGTTTTGTGTGCTCACCTGTGCACTATGTTGGTATTTTGTTCACATCCAGGTGACCAGTTTTATCAGGGAGGAGTCCAGAGAGAACATGCAGATCATTGTCATCTCCCTGAAGGAGGAGTTCTTCTCCAGGGCAGACGCTCTGCTGGGAGTCTACTCAGACGTAAGAAACATTTCTAACATGGTGGGACTTTCTTTATTGTTATTGTAAAATGCAGTCACTACATTGTTCGTCCCTTATTGGCACAGTTTGCTGAGTGCATGTTCAGCGGCATGCTGACCCTGAACTTGCAGCCGTACCCTCTGGTTGAAGAAAACAATGGACAACTGACCGACAAGGACAGAGTGGACCAAAGACAGGATTCCAGAGGCCTGGAGTCACTGGCCTAATGCCTTCATTTGTGTTTCTGCTGATATTTTAAGACATCAGCTCTCACTGTTTTCAAATGTTGACCTAATGTTAGGGCATATTAGTTCTCTTAAAACAAGTATTAAGACTTGTGTTCTATTTTACTGTTTTACTACATTTACTACATTGATTTTAGTAAGCCGTTCTTTGAAATTAATTGAAAAGGATTTTTTCCTTCCTGGGTAACAGTTTAAACCTCAAGGCATTTAGTTTTTTTGTTGTTGTTGGATTCTGAGCCTCTTATTTAGCAGATTGTGTAACAAGACTGAAACTTAACAGGGAGAATAAACCTGTCTGTTCGAGATTGTCTTGAATACAGAGGTGTTACTCTTACAAATTATAGTATTCAAATGGTTACGTATCAAATGCATCAGCTTTAATTGTGACTTATAATGTTAATGGCTGTTCTTTACCCTACAGGATGTTCCATGTCATTCAAAGTGACATAAAACACATAATGTTTGTTTGTGACTTGAATTGTTTTGTATTGAAAGTTATGCATTTCAGTGTGATTTGTGTCTCGTTCATTAAATCTACAGAGTTAATGATGCTTTCTGTAGTTTTTTGATCTGTGCTATATTTTCTGGAGGTTTTAAGAAAATAACAATTCTCTCAGATGGTTTAGTCATTATTTTCCCTATTTTCTCTTGCCTGCCACAGATGGTAATGCTAATTATAGCTTTTGGGAGATGGGGATTATGAAGTTCACTGACTTGTAATGGTGTCCATTCTGGAAGCTATTACTGTTTTTTAAATATTGTATCATCTATCCAACAGTTTCTTTCCTCTTATTTTGGTGCAGGGGTGGATGGATTATGAGATGATGGGCCTCTGGGCTTAAATGGGTAAAAGCCCACCCCACCCCTCCAATGTTGGGCCCCAAAATTAAAGAGACACTGCAGTGTTTGTCATTTTGTGTCCCTTTGTGGTCTGTAAGCTTCCCAATGTGGTCAGTCTGTCTCTGGTCACTTTATGTCTCTGGTCACTTTATGTCTCTGTGGATGTTATCTCTGCTAAAGAGGTTAATTACGAGCAGTAGGTTGAATGGTTTGTTTGTTTGTTTGTAAGAAAGACCATGCAAAAACTACTGGACAGATTACCATGACCCTTGGTGGAAGGATGTGGTATAGTTTAGGGAATAACCCTTTTTAATGGTGAAATGGACATTTTGATCTTTTTTTTACTTTAACATTATCAGAAGATGTTTTACTGTTTCACTGATGTCCCAGGTAATATGGATATTGATGAAAAAACGAGGCACGTCAAGGTAACTGTTATGTGTGTTGAATTTGGTGCATCTTGCATGATATTCTATGGTGCTGCTTGTGAACTCTTTGGGTCTTGTGGTAAGTTGATGTCTCTTTGTGGATGCTTTGTGTCTGGTCCTCATTATTGCATCTTTGGGATAGTCCTGCTGGTCTTAGTCCTTGCTGGAATATGAACAATTGCGTCATACAGAGGCTCTGGACCAGGGCCCCGTTTGTTAATCATATAAGACTTGGACTCATTGTTATAAGGAGTTGGGACTCACTGACAAAATGTGATCTGAACTTTGAGTTCATGTGAAGAAAAGAGTCATGAAAAACCTGAAGTGTCATTTTGGTGAGCTGTGACGTCACGAGCAGCAGGCGGCGGTGATGTTTTGGTATGGATACAAGCACAGGGCAGACCACGTGATCAATGTTTACGGAAGTAAGCAGCTGTCAGCCGCCTAAGAATCGTGAACAGAAAGTCAGTCATGTCGGGTGTGTCATGTGACGTTAATGTCAAGATTATTTAATGTCCTAAACTACGTGTCTCTCGCTCATCGCCGGGTTTACGGCTCATGTAGCTTCCTCTGTTAGCCTGTTAGCTAGTAAACTGTAGCATGAACGTTTGACACACAGGCTAACCGTTAGCTGACATAGCTAACATTGCTCTCGCACCGTTGCCAACATCACCCCCGGCTCCCAGCTCCTCTCCTGCGGTCTGGGTGGCCTCACTGCCCCGGTGTGCGTGTGGAGGTCATGTGAAGTGTCCGTGGGACTTCCAGCATCAAACGTATTCGCGATTTAGTCGCTGCAGTTTGTGGAAACGCTAGCGAAAGCTAACTGCTAGCTTGTTGGCCAGACGTTAGCATCATGGGAGCCGAGCAGAGCGGAGAAGCGGAGCACAAACACTCCGACTACAGCTCGTCAGGTAAATCTGCCCTCTGGTACAGCTCACCGTGTATCTGTCCACTTCTGTCTGTCTCTGTACTAACCAACATGTGTTAGATGACACAATAAAGTGATTGCATGGTCACTGGCACTGATAGAGAGTACAATCCTGCAGTACGTTCAGTATTTGTTTACCCCTCAAAGTTAAAGATGATATGTTTCACTCCATAACATTTACTTTGTAGATACAGATTCCAGATACTTTCTTCAGAATACAATTATTCTCATCTTACAACATATAAATTCTCCAGTATAAGCAATGCTAAATCTAATATGGAAATACAAGCAATTGCATACATTTATTCAGAAATGATTCGTTCTGCATAACACGTACTTGTTTACATTGTTTCTATGTGTGATAATATTACTAATGATTATTCAGTTTTAAATGTGTCTTTCTCTGAGTCCTTGCTGACCCTAAAGGTCAATACAGTTTTAGAAAGTTGTGAAAAGTGTCCATCTTCCAAAGCCTAGCAAGGCCTTTTCACATGATGTCATGATTTGTGTAATAATCAAAACATCAGACAATATTTACATGTGAGAAGCTGAAATTAGAGAATTTGACATGTTTACTTATAGGGCTGGGCAATTCGGCAAAAATCATATCAAGATAAGAACTTTCATATCAGCCTATATCGATAATTGTCCTTATGAATGTCACATAATTATTTCTAAGTTTAAAGATTCATTTTTGCTCCTGAGTGACTTGATAAACAGCAAAACATTTTATAAATCTGAAGTAGATCAGTCTCACTGTCCTCACACGATGCATTTAAGCATTATATAGATACATATTGAAACTGTTATATTTCCCTTGATGAAAATTTGATTGCGATAATTAAAGATTATGTTTTATTGCCCGCCTTTATTTTCTTAAAGTAAGTGTTACTTTTAGATAAATATCAAATTTTGGATCCAATTTTTTTTCACATTGTGACATAACTTGCCTTTTTAAATAAAAGGTGTGAGTTTGACTTACATCATTTCAAATGGATCGGTGTTATCCAAAGTACTCTTACATCTACATCTACACTGTCGTACATCTCAAAAACATTTAACACATTTTATCAGATTGGTGTTGACGTGATTTGATTGTGACATGGTGAAGGGATTTGTGCCTGTTAATATTAACAGTATTGTTGTTGTTGCAGTGGTGCCGTCTCCAGCAAAACAAAAGGCGAAGATGGATGATATTGTGGTAGTGGCCCAGGGGACCCAGTCAATGCGGAATATCCACAATGACCCAGACGTCATCAAGCTTCAAGAAATACCCACATTTCAGCCACTTTTGAAAGGTACCGTTCGAGTTCCCCAGCTGCTGACATGGATTTTCATCGTTCTGACCAAAAATAACACAATATAATACAAATTACAATACAATCATAATGCTTTGTGTTTTTTATGAACCTATTTTGAACACTCTCTGCTTGATGATCATTTTGTAGACTGTGGCTTGTTGTTTCAGTGGAAACACTGCACATTTTAACCAGCATGAGAGAAGGCTATATAGCATGAATATAACTAATAAACACATCAGTAAGCATACATTTTACAACCCTCTTCAGTCTCCAAGTGTTCACTCACAGCAGAAATCCCAATAAAGTAATACAGTATGCGCCAGATATTGTTTATGAGATATGTGTTAAAGGTAGGGTTGCATTGTTGTTACTGAAAAACTTTCAGTCTATCCTTTTATCCTTTTTATTAAAATCCTCTTCACGTCCTGATAGCGATCAATAAACGAAGTTGTAAAGTATAGGGTGTCTTTGGCCGTCGCACAACTGTGATAAACACATCATTTCATTTTATTCGGACCAAATGAATCGACTGAATTGCTGGCACACCTGTCTGTCTGTTCGCACCCTGCCCGTGCTCGTATTGTGCATTTATTGGAGTCTTATAAGCTGCAGAGACGTAAAGTCAGTATACATTCATTTGTTGTGTAGCTTTGACAAGAGGGCCAGTGGGAGGCAGTGAGCCTGCTCTTGCTAGTTTTCTAGGATTACCAACCCTATCTTTAGGTATGAAACCCTCATCACTGAATTAGATCAGATATCCATTCCTGGTGTAAGTGTAGCGTGCACATGCCTGAACACTTACACGTGCTAGATTCAAAAAACACTGTCAGACAAAAATAGCATAGTCTCCACCCTTCCTCTCACCCACTGTCAGCTGGAATCGGCTCCAGCTCCCCAGCGTCTGTTAAAGGATAAGCAGTATAGATCATGAATGGATGGGTGGATGGATGGATGATATAGCAATGTTTTGGTCTCTCTGGTAAATCTTGATAATGTCTGACAAAGATTTTTTTTTGTCTGATCAAAATCTTGCTCTGATAAATGAGGGTCTTAGGATACATTGTGCAGATCTTTTGTCTGGTCTCTACATGTTCAGTTTTCACAGGAAGACGGTGACAGTTTCATCACATCTTACACAAGTTCCCACTGGTCCAATTTCTAATTCTGTTCAGCAAAGATAATTGTCGCTGCAACTCATTAGCACTGTATGAGAACGTGGAAAATGAGCCGCGTTTCCTGTGTATCACACTTCTGAAATAGCAGGAAGGGTAGGTCTGTCAGATCCTGTGCATAGCTTATTAAAAATGAGAGTTAGGTTAGGTTTCTGTTCTAACATCTTCATGTAAGTCCCCTGCTCGTTTCTCTCTACAGGAGTGCTGAGCGGCCAGACGTCACCCAGCAGTGTGAGTTTGGAAAGGCTGGATGCTGCTCAGGTTCTGCAGCTCTGCATCCGTTACCAGGACCATCTACACCAGTGTGCAGAGGCCGTGGCCTTCGACCAGAATGCCCTGGTCAAGAGGATAAAAGAGGTAAAGCTGCATGGGACAGAATGGGACAGTTAGTGTCTTACCGGTCAGCCCCAAAACAACAGTATTAAAACTACATGTTTATTTGACATTTGGTATTGACAGGGTTTTTTAATATATTCAACTGGCAAACTTTACATTAGAAACATGATTAGTTGTGAACCAGAAGTTTTATAAGTCGTCTCAGATATTAAATAAAATGTTCTCTGCTTTGCTTTGAGATGATTAAGTGTCATTAAAAGTTAAAGACTATCTCTCTTGCTGTCTCTCCCTCGTCTCCTTTCTTCCAGATGGACTTGTCCGTGGAAACCTTGTTCAGCATAATGCAGGAGCGCCAGAAACGCTACGCCAAGTACGCTGAGCAGATCCAGAAGGTCAACGAGATGTCCATGATCCTGAGACGCATCCAGATGGGAATCGACCAGACGGTGCCTCTGATGGAGCGCCTAAACAACATGCTGCCTGAGAGCGAGCGCCTGGAGCCCTTCAGCATGAGGCCTGATGGGGACTCTGCCGCAAAGTAGCCTGAAGTGCAGGTCTGTCCATCTGTAGGGAGATGAAGTCTTTACACGAGTAGAAGGCTTGATGCATTAAAGTATTTTTATTTATTTTTTTCATAGTAGATGTGGAGCTCATGTGTAAATGTGTGAGACTGCTCTCATCAGAGGTGTCATCATGCTCTGAAAAAGCAGCATCCAACTTACTAAACACGCATTCACTTTCTCATTCTGCCACTGGACCAGCTCTGTGCCCAGTCCATACAAGTCGAGGCTCTGGGGGATTGTTATTTATCCCTTCACTGCAAATTTCTTATCCAAGGCAAAGGAGGAACCAAATAATGAAGACCGAAAGAACTCCTGCATAGGTTTTACAGACTCCAATGTGGATGTGAGCTACTTACAAACATCTCAAAATATTTTGGGCAGTTTTCAAAATGTACATACACCTCCGAAAACATCTGAACTTGCAGTGAATTGATTTTGGATCATGCACTTCACATTACGAATACTGGATATCCTGCTATTTTCACCCCCAGTCACTGTTATCCCTTCCAAGCACTGCTTGTATGCAGATTGACTGCATTTAATCTTCTGAACTGTATTTGTGTATGTCATGTTGGGACATTGAGATGAAAAGACTCAGGGAGAGAACGAATGAGGAAGGATTATCGCCTTTGGATTGCACAGAGAGCATGGATGTGCTGTACATTGGAAGAAAAGTGAGAAGCTCCTTCTGTTGAATTGATGAATTAGAATTTAAGTTATTTGGACTCTTTTGCTCAAGAAGTTCTCTAAAGCTTTTTTAAACATTTAAACCCAATAAAGTGTAGAAAAACAGACCCTTCAAATAGACTCACAGGTTTAATGTTTGGGACACACAACATAACCTTTTGTAGTGCTAACATGTCATGCTAACTGTCAATGCAATGCTAAAGAGAGGTACACAGGAAATAAAATCCAAATCAGATGAACATACAGCGGGTACACCAGCTGCCTCTGTCTCCTTTCACATTGTGTTTTTGTGGTTGATTGGCTGGTGCCTCTATTCCAGCATGGTTGTGTTGATGTTGCTTCTTCCAAACACGGTGCGATCAATGCCACACAGCGGAACAACAATGCAGTTCTGCAATGTATGATGGCCTCCCGTTCAAAGTGAATGAGCAGAGTTACGGTGGAAGCCTCCAACACATTTGAAAGAGTCCTGTGTAATTCTTCGGCTCGTCTCAGATCTCCATCCAAACCACGCTGTTCGGTCATCGTACCACATTTTAGAAGCAACTTTGTGTTTTAAGTGTCATCACTTCTCAAGTAAATCATCTCAAAAATGAAAAAAAGGCAGATATCAAAACCAAATAAATTAAACTGAGGCTAAA